CCATCTTGTGGCAGGCTTATGCAATGTATGATCATATAATGTAACTAAACCCCCATTATTTTTGCCTAGATTAGGTGTTTTTAAAAAAACAAATAAAATCTTTCAACATTGAAGTTGCTGTTTAGTGGATAGGTGAGTGTGCTGGATCTTGTGTATTGTATTATTTGGCCCTCAGCAGCACCCCCATTTATGCATGTTCAGGTGAGTGCAGCCAACCCCCTCTTGTTTTATGTATATATTTGGGAGTCTAGCCAACTCCTTGGTTTTGCACCCCTCCCTGTCACAGGTGCTTCATCCCAGGGCCCTATTTAGCCTTGTACTGCAGAGAGCCCCAGATGGAATTTTTTCCTCAAGTAAGTGGTTAATCTCATAAGAGCAGACATTAGGCTGTTAGTGTAGGACCTGCCAAAGATGGGGTACATTGACGTTGTGGCAGGCTTATGCAATGTATGATCATATAATGTAACTAAACCCCCATTATTTTTGCCTAGATTAGGTGTTTTTAAAAAAAACTAATTAATAAAATCTTTCAACTTTGAAGTTGCTGTTTAGTGGATAGGTGAGTGCGCTGGATCTTGTGTTTTGTATTATTTGGCCCCCAGCAGCACCCCCATTTATGCATGTTCAGGTGAGTGCAGCCAACCCCCCCTTGTTTCATATATATATATATATATATATATATATATATATATATATATATAAACAAAAAATATATCCAGGGTGCACACTCAGGACTTGAGCAAAAAAATTATTTATTTAATCATGTGCAAAAATAAAGCCAACCAACGTTTCGACCCCTGCGGGTCTTTTTCAAGGTAACCTTGAAAAAGACCCGCAGGGGTCGAAACATTGGTTGGCTTTATTTTTGCACATGATTAAATAAATTATTTTTTTGCTCAAGTCCTGAGTGTGCACCCTGTATATATTTTTTGTTTATATAACGGACGCACAGTGGATTGCACCCAGGCAGTTATTCATTTTGAATACAAGAAAGGAGAGTGCCAAGCTATCTATTTTTATTATATATATATATATTATACATACATATACAAAACATAGGGAAACAAATAAAGATAATATATAGTATAATTTATAAAGGATTATAGAATTAGTGGGAAAAATATCTATGACACTTTTTTTCTTATCTGTAACTTTATTATTTGGTAAGTTACTTTTTTAAAGCTTGTTTGCTCAATCAAAACAGTAATTTCTGTTTGTAATAACCCCTTCACACCAGCACTTATGTATACATGACTGCCAGGCTATGCAACCATACCCCACAATCATGTATAAATGATTAGCATAATTGCTAATTAAATATATTTATTGCAAAATAATTTAGTTTGCAAATTATGCCATAACTACAGTCAAAGAGCTCACAACGCAGAGGCACAGGGAGCCACTGAACGATGAATACAGAGACAATATCCCTGTATGCAGTGTTGCAAGCCTGCCTTTAAATATATCTACAGCTTCTTATACACGGAAAATGCAACCACTATTTATTTTTTCATTATGGGTGTTGGTTATTGCCTCGTATTTGAGTTTCACCTAAGGCCTCACAAGGTATAGAACCGCCATTGCACTACAGCAGTGATAGAAGTGTGATGAGAGGGCTTCCGATTGCCCTGCTTCGTTGCTTCACTTCTGTTCCACTGAGTAAGCTGGGTAACCCACTTCATCTTTGCCCACCGCCATAGGCGTGCGCAGACTATTGCATTAGGGTGTGCACCCTAAAGCACAAACACACGCCGCGCGTGTGTGTGTGTGTATATGTATATATATATACACACACACACACTCTCACAGACACACACACACTCACAGACACAGACACACACACACACACACACACTCACAGACACAGACACGCACACACAGACACACACTGACACACACACACTCACAGACACACACACAC